ATCCCATATTGAGGATGTATGCAACACATCGGTACATCAGCTGTCGATTTGTCCAGCCGTCCTCTGGGCCTCCTCTCCTAGGAGCTGCTGTTGCAGCTGGTTCTGACGTCCCTCCATCCTCCTTGAATTCTTAGCCTTGCTGATGCTTTTGCTGTCTCTCGTCCAATGCAATTGGATTCGGCGTGGGTCTTGGATCGTGTTCTTTCACTTTTCCTCTGGATTGGATGCGCATGTCCCCCCTTGCTCTTGCCCCCTTCCCTTTCCTGGCGATCTCGCCCGCTCCCGAGAGTCCGTGGCACTTGGCTCGTGCCTCGTCTACGTCTGGTTGAGCCTGCCCCGTGCCGAGAGTGGTCGTGTTTCGTACCTCCTTCGTCCGGTTAGCAGGGGTCATTGCCACAGTACCGGCCAGTTGAGCGCTTCAGTGGCCCGCGGACGGTGCAAAATGTTAGTGTGTGTGTGTGTGCCTGGGTGTTGCTGGGCTGCTTTCCCCCCCCAGCTTCAGCTCAGTGCAGTTCAGTGCAGCTCAGTGCCGACGCTGGTTCCCCCCCCTCGGCGCTTCCCCTGCCGCAGCTGGTGACTCGCCTGAGTGGGCCCGCCTTCCTCTCCCCCTGTCGCGCCGGGGCTCCTCCTCCTCCTCCTCCTCCTCCTCCTCCTCCTCCGTGGATTGCAGCCTTAATTTGCATACAGCGTGTCCCCTCTGCCCAGCCGCCGACGCAAAAAGTGTGTGTGTGTCTGTGCGTGTGACCAGTGCCTTCATCTTCGCCAGTCGCGTGCGCCTGTCTGCTGGGTGCAGTCCCAATCAGAGTTTGCCTCTGTAGGGGTCCTAGCGGATGCACATGGTTAGGTGAGGTTTACCGCCGATTTCCACGGCCCACCCGGGTGCGCCCCGGATGCCCGGATGCCGGGGTGCCCGGGTGCCTATAGCCCTATAGCCCTATAGCCGTATAGCCCTATAGCCATATAGCCCCATAGCCCAATAGCCCTATAGCCCTATAGCCCTATAGCCTTGTAGCCTTATAGCCCAAAAGCCCTATATCCTTGTAGCCTTATAGCCCAATGGCCCCATAGTCTTATAGCCCTGTAGCCATATAGCCCAGTCGCCCTATAGCCCTATATCTCTATAGCCCTATAGCAGCCCTATAACCTTACAGCCTTATAGCCCAACAGCCCTATAGCCCTATAGCCCTTTAGCCCTGTTACCCTATAGCCCTATAGCCCTATAGCCTTATAGCCAAGTAGCCCAATAGCCCTATAGCCTTATATAGCTCTATATGCCGACAGCCCCATAGCCCAATAGCCCCATAGCCTTATAGCCCTATAACCCTATAGCCCTATAGCCCTATATACCTATGGCCCTATGACCGCATAGCCCTATAGCACCATAGTCCCATAGCCCCATAGCCCCATAGCCTACAGCCCTACAGCCCTATAGCCCTTTGGCCCCGTAGCCCTGTAGCCCCATAGCCCTATAGACCTATAGCCCTAAAGCCCTATAGCCCTGTAGCCCCACAGCCATATAGCCAACATATTCTGCTTGGGTTTGTCTGTGGTATCATTCAAGTTCACCGTCTTTTCCTTCTTACAGTCGTGGTTGCAAGGCTTCGGCCCTTGCCCATTGGGCTAGGCGACTTCGGGCGGGGGGCACACGGTCGTCAGGCTTGGTGGCGAGCCGATGCGGCATGGTGTGTGCGTGCGTGCTTGAAGCTGGAGCGCACCAGGCTTCGCGTGCATCGGCCCTTTCTTCTTAGGTGCAAATCTGCTCGTCGTGGCATTGTTTACGTTATTGCATGGTTTCCGGGGGAACTTTCGGTGAGTGGTGCAATGCTCGTACGGTCTGGTCTCTCAGATCTTCATGCGTGAATGCGTGATAGTGCAACATCATATTGACAACGCCAACGTCATGGGATGAGCTTGGCCAGCAGCGCAGGGTCTGCTATACCAGTTTGCGCCTTGCACGACATCACGAATGATTGTCCTGTCAGGGGTGATGCTTTGCACAGATCATGCCATCCATGGGCAACTAGACAATCATATTAGGAAGGAGGACGGATCCAGAAACCATGCGTGCCACATATAATTCAGGAAGGGAGCATGCGCATCATTGCATGGACTTCTGGGAGTTCAGCACCGCTCTGCACGATGAAACCGAGGCTTTCAGACTGGATCGCAAGCATCGACGAGCGCGTCGACAGGGTCGAAAGCATGCGGCAACGGCTCACCTTCCCGCTCCTGCAATGGCGGGGCCCGATGGTCTTCCTTTCCTTCGGCAGCCTCTCGCTCAGGCTGTGGAAACGCAAACACTCGGGCAGCGCACCTCGTGCACAATGTATTTCTGTGGGGTGCCCTCGTGCGCGGGGTGGCGGCGCAGATCCTCGCCGCCCACCACGGCGTCTCTGGCCCGGCACGCGGGCTCCCGCGGCCAGGGGACGCGCGGGCGCTGGAAGCAAAGTGTCCTCAAGTGTATGCGCAGGGCCTGGTCGTAGTAGCACGCGAGTGCGAC